CAGTTAGACGAAGGGCGCAAAGCGAATTTCGGATAGGCTTTAAGTGCAGGAAAGATACTTTGCGCAAGTGTTGGAAACAATATTTTTCCCATGAACTTAATATCACAACAAAAATTAAAAAATAATTAAATATATTTGGTATTTGTATAGATGTTTGCTGATATAAAAACGGGAGAGAAATGTGAAAGTGCACTTATTGTTGTTCGAGAATTAATTTTGCTATTCGGCTCTCAGTGCGGAGAAAGATCTTATCCACACGAAGTGCGGAAACTTGTAACTTTGCGTGCGGGAAAGTACTACTTCACGCAAGCTGGTCGAAAAACGATATTCCACATGTCACGTGATTGCCGAAGTCAAAATGTATCGATACCTACACTAAAACTGAATACGCCTCTTGATACAGATAATATTTCAAAATAGAGACGTTACAGCAATATACGCAGGAGCAAGTTTTTATTGTATCTTTGAAATCTATTTACGCATTCACTTTTTCATCCTGAGTCACCATGAGTCGAAATGTTGATTCTACCAAATGTTTTCTGAAGAGATAGCTTGTGAAGAAGGTCCAAATTACCAGCAAAACTGAATAGATAATTCCCCCTTAATTCTTTAAGGTGTAGCATTGTTATAAAATTTTGCATCCAATTCAAATATCAAGAGCATATACTTTTGTCGGGTAGTGTAGTAGGCCATTTCGCGTTATTTTTCCAAAATATGTTGAGTTGGAAATTGCTATATCAACACAGAGGTGTAGGTACCCACATAACAAAATTGCATCCTTAGAATGTTCTTTTTTCAGGAGGAATGTGCCTAGAATGTTCGCCAAAACCATTGCGAATGTCCTGAGAATGTTCTGAGAAAAGATTGTAGAAATACTGTTTGCAATACCCAAGAACTTCCTGAGAAATCCATTAGGATATTCCTAGAATATACCTATGAGATTCTCAGTACATCCTGAAAAGAATATTCTTGTTTGATTCTAAAAATATGCTCGATATGTATAGGTATTCTCACATTCAAATAATGTTTCTATGACATTATAGTTATGTTCTCAAAAGAATATTATACCAATATGCTTGAAATATTCTTAGAATATATCTACATATATCATTCTCAATATGCATCCTAGACATAACATTCTTGGTTGATCCTAAGGATATACTTGGAATGTTAATTTTCCAAATACTGCTCCTTTCAGCCCTTTTATATTAAAGGAAGTGAAAGAGTTGTTGGAAACCTTCTCTGGAAAACACAAGTATTTAACCAAAGCTCCGGTTTCGAGTTTGTTATGCTCTCGTCGAAGCACGCCAACTGAGAGAAACAGGTTCCAAGGTGATTCAAACGCGAGGTACGATGTAGATCTTTAATAGCACGTGGCTCCCTCTCTTGGAAGTCCTACAAAGCAAAAGGAAAAGAATATACCTATAATATTCTTAGTAGGTTCTAGATAAAGCATTATTGTTTAATTGTTAAATTATGATTTTTGAATAGGTACTTCAGATAATTAGGTGAACAATATGAAAATATTCTTATCATGGTAACCTACCTACATGAACTTCTCAGCACAACTTGGTAGGTATATTCTTAATACTTGATAGAGATATTAGCCGAAAGAACATTTTTTAGGGTACATTATAATAATGTTCGTATGACAATATTCAAAGTTTGTTATATAAAGTAGGTTCTTAGCAGAATCTTTCAGGTAGGTGCATAGAAGCAACATTCCTAATACATAAATAGAACGTTCAAAAATGAATATTTCAATCGAAACAATCTTAGAATATTCATTAAACATTCCTAAAAGAACATTCCAAAAAGCACTTTGAGGGAATATTCTGAGAATATGAATGTTCTTTCATTGTTATGTGGGTAGGTATTTATATTTTGGGCATGACTCATCACATAAAAGGTCTATTGTCACAAGAGTATCTTCTTGCAAACTGTCGGTTAACATTGCCCATACATGTTTTCCAATGCCGTCATTCCAATATAAATAGGTAACTTAGCTGAGCAATTATTCCTGACAGGTTGCAAATTGTCAGAGACTCCTGTGAGAACAGATCTATGATGTTCAGCTTTCTAAATTTGACAGACACTTTCCATATAAGGAGCGAGGGAAGGAAGAATACAGCAAAAACAGGAGTGAGTTCAGGTAACCATTAGCTCATATTCCTTTAGAGTAGGTATCAGATTATTAAAGTCGGACTGTACTATATGCATAATCACATTGTACATTGAACCTTTTATGCTGATCTTGTAGAGCCTCATCGGAAGATTTTTCAACAAAAATCTTTTTAACTCGTCTTGGCCTTGAGAAATCGTTTCTATCTAATTCAACGTCCAGTCCAAGTTCATCCAGTTTCTTATTAACTTAAGACATATCACGAACAGATTTTTCGATCCATTCCATATTATTCTTCTGATGGCTTTCATTTGTAATATCTTGATCATAGCATATTTTAACCAATTTTATAAGTATAGTCACTATCCCATCCGTCCCTGGTGGAAAATTGAAATTTTGAGGACTTTTTCTTAAAAGCTCAATGTAAAAAATACTAAAAACTCAAAGCGATTGAGTTATTATTTATGGAGTTATGATTTTTTTAAAATAATGATGTTTTGTGAAGGAAAATTTTAGAAACAATTTTTTTACTCAAAAACTAAAATGAATGGAAAGTTGAAACTTTGAGGACTTTTTCCTAAAAGTTCAATGTGAAAAATATAAAAAACTCAAAGCAATCGAGTTATTATTAATGGAGTTACGATTTTTTTTTAAATAGTGATGTTTTGTGAAGTAAGACTTTATAATTTTTTCACTCAAAAACTAAAGTGAGTAGAAAGTTGAAATTTCAAAGACTTGTTTCTAAAGATTCAATATAAAAAATACTGAAAACTCAAAGTGATTGAGTTATTATTAATGGAGTTATGATTTTTTTAAAATAATGATGTTTTGTGAAGTAAGACTTTACAAACAATATTTTCATACAAAAACTAAACTGAGTAGAAAGTTGAAATTTTGAGGACTTTTTCCTAAAAGTTCAATGTGAAAAATATTAAAAACTCAAAGCAATCGAGTTATTATTAATGGAGTTACGATTTTTTTTTAAATAGTCATGTTTTGTGAAGTAAGACTTTATAATTTTTTCACTCAAAAACTAAAGTGAGTAGAAAGTTGAAATTTCAAAGACTTGTTTCTAAAGATTCAATATAAAAAATACTGAAAACTCAAAGTGATTGAGTTATTATTAATGGAGTTATGATTTTTTTAAAATAATGATGTTTTGTGAAGTAAGACTTTACAAACAATATTTTCATTCAAAAACTAAACTGAGTAGAAAGTTGAAATTTTGAGGACTTTTTCCTAAAAGTTCAATGTGAAAAATATTAAAAACTCAAAGCAATCGAGTTATTATTAATGGAGTTACGATTTTTTTTTAAATAGTCATGTTTTGTGAAGTAAGACTTTATAATTTTTTCACTTAAAAAGTAAAGTGAGTGGAAATTTAAAATTTTGAGGACTTTTTCCTAGAGGCTCAATGTGAAAGATACTAAAAACTCGAAGAGATTGAGTTATTATTAATGGAGTTTTTTTAAATAATGATGTTTTGTAAAATAAAACTTTACAAACAATTTTTTCACTCAAAAACTAAAGTGAGTGGAGAGTTGAAATTTTGAGGATTTTTTCCCAAAGGTTCAATGTAAAAAATATTAAAAATTCAAAGCAATTGAGTTATTATTAATGGAGAGTGTCTCACAGGGTGTCTCAAAAAATTCTGAAAATTACTGACTTTCTTTCTATCCCTGTATATGATATATAAAGACGAATCATTTAATACTGGTAATACGTCAGATGTATTCCTGAAGAATCACAATCTGTGAAAAATTCATCGAAATCGAGTAGAGGGTTCAAGAGAAAATTGATGTCAAATTTTAATGTAAATTTTGTCCGTTCCCTAATTTTGCCAGTGTGTGTATATAAAAAAAATAGTATACTTACAGGGTGTATAGAATAATTTGAAATACATGAAGATATTGGGAAACCATTGTTTGGTCCACTCTGTATCTTCAAATGGTTTCCAAAATCCCGATATACTTTAAGTTATTCCGGATACCCTAGATATTTTTATTTATTGTTAAACAGAAACAGATAATAACTTTTTATTGGCAAAATTCGTCCAAGTTTTTCATAGATTTTTAAGAAAAAAAGCTCGATACCTACTCTGTAAGTCATCGGCATGTAACACTTTGCCTTGAAACTATATTAGATAAAAGGAGTAAATATTACCGCGAAAAAAAAATATTTACGAAAAATATAAAAATTAGTTTGCATTAGAGATTGGAGAAATCCACATATAGAAGTCGATGATGGTTTTAATCTTTAATTTAGAAAAGTTTGAGAATTTCATTTAAATTCTTATAAAATTGAGCCACACAAAAGAACATCCTCATTTTTGTTTCTTTTTTTGTACTATACTACATACATATATATGTCTTACTGTTAATTAACAATAATGATTACTGTATTATGACAATTATTTTCAAGTGTAATTATAAAGCAGATTAACTACTTTTTAATAGTAAATTTTGCACGTGGAAAAAATCGTAGTAGGTAATCAATTTTATGAATGCGACCTTCGTTCAAATAGCAATAATATTAGTGCAAAGCATTTTTAGTCATAGTGAGGTGAAATATTAATGCACAAACTCATTCATTAATAATACATTATACATTCATCTGATTCATCATATAAAATATACAGTTTTTAAATAATTGGAATCATCATCAGCATATGTCGTTTCAATATACTAAAATTTTTCTATGTAAAATTGATTAAGACTCTTTTACCTAATGCTTTCACTTTGAGAGAAAATTGCAAGGCACATTTATTAATGATAATAAATGTCATTTAACGTTCCAACAATTATTAATTGTTTTTGAAAAATGACCATAAACTAAATAAATGTCCGTCCCAAGTAGGTAGGTGTATAATAATATTATTAAAACGAATATAGTCGAGTTTAGTTTAGTTTAGCTCCGGCCTCGTTGGCGCGAGTACTACGGTACTACATTTGCTTTTACTACTAGATTAATTAACGAAATAACATCGCGATTACCTATGTTGTGTTTTGTGCATTTGGGATTATTGCTACACTGTTGTGGGAAATAGGATTTTCAACTATGTATGTGAAAAGAAAAAACATGATAATCGGTTTTTAATGTTTTTTGTATTGTGGATGTGAGTTTTTTTTTGGTTTTGCATTGAATTTTGATTATCAAGTAAACTTGAAATTTACCTGAATTTCATCAAGTAGTTTACTTCAAGGAAAATAGCATTACTTGAAGTACATATAAGTATTTTAGTATTTGAAGTATGTAAAATACTTTGAATAAATTACTTGAATTTTGACTTTAACATTTGATAGAGAGGATCAAAATTAGTGAAAAACAACCCTGATATCATTTCTAAATGGCCATGTTAAGCAGAAGCAAAATTAAATAAAAAATTCCAATTTAAATTTAATTAAATCAATTCAAATTTAACTAAATAAAATTCAATTAATCCAAATTGAATTCAACTTGACTAAATTGAATTTAAGTAAATCAAATTCAAATAATTCAATTCAAATTCAACTTATCTTAGTCAAAAAGTTAAATTTTTAAAAATATGACTGATTTAAATTTAATTTTAATTTAATTAAATTTATTAACAATTTATTTTTAATTTAATTAACAATATTTGAAATTATTTTTAAAAAGAAAATTAAAATCAGTGTATAGTGACTTATTTTCTAATGCAAAATCGAGTGTTGTGTTTTGTTTGCACCGTGAAGGTCGCCTCTCATCCTCATCATACGTTTTAAAACAATCTGAATAGTTAAAAATAGTGCACCGACTATTTTAATTTATAAAGGTTCATCGTATAGTACTCCTAATGATTGTTTGTTTTGCTATTTTAATTAGCACATATGCAGCTAGGATAATATGAATTATTTAGAGTCCATTCTCTAGGGTAAAATCGAAGTAGTAATTAAAGAGTCAAGTATATTAACTTGATTCTTTTTCAATTTTTTCCATCCAATTAATAGTTATTTATGGTACTAATGTTGTGACGGAACTAGCTATTACCCTTTTGTGGACTCTAGTCATTACCGCACCAGGGATGTCAAAAGTTTTTACTTTGACTGACTGTAAAAATTAACCATTAGGTGTTGGATCATTTAAGCCTTGTATTGAACTAGGGGTGCCTTGATTCTCATTTATACAAATAAAACGCTGAAATAGAATAGTTATCAATTTAATTAATAAATGAAGTTAATTCGGTTTAATCAGCAATCAAATCCTATCTAATAATTCCTATTTGGACGTCCAGTCGAACTACAAATTTTATACTAATCTAAAGTAAATAAGCGAGTAAATAAGTATCTTGATTTATAAAAAATAGTGAAATTTCATAATAATAATATCATTTATGGTTGAATGTTCAAAGAACGAGAACACAAATTAACTAATTTAAATTTACGAGAGCACAACACAAATAATTCGTGAACTTCAATCAGCTCACTGTATTCACAAAATGTTTATAATCCTTGAAGGTTCTTTTGTTTATTGAGAGTTAATAATTTGAGCACTTTTCTGCTGAAGTGTGTAAACAATAAGTGCAAGAAAAGTCTATATATATATGCTCAGTTTCTATATACAAATTTACAAATTAATGTTCATTTCACGAGTGTGAAAACCAAATTTCTGTATTAAAGGTTAGAACAAACACTTCAATTTATAGTGCATTTCAACCGAATCGGTATTCAGTATTTATTAATTTATTGTTCGACTGTTTTGAGAAATTGAAACGGTCTTACTTGCTTAATCCAGTTCATACCGGTAAATCCATATAGTGATTATTTATCCATTTATCACTATTCGTAGTAATTTGCACTGTCAGCTAAGGGATTTTCCACTAAGAGAGAGAACACAATGATATACAGAGTTGAAGCCTGTCGAGAGTGAGACAGGAATAACCTTAAACAGGCGTAGTAGAGAATTTTGCTAGGTCCGAGATGACTTGCAACAATTTAGGGGTTAATTACATGAATTGTAATCAATAATATCGTTGATAATATAGACCATGTCAGGCCTTGAGTCACTGGGGGTAGTATTTTACTATAATTCGCGTACTAACGGGGGTTTTCTGGGGGTTTTTTCCTCTGTAGAGCGTTCAGAGGCGAGAGGGTGCAGAGTCTTTGCTTACTCTTCTGCTTCTTGATTACTACTTTTGTGTACCGTGCCGTGCGTCGAGTCGACTGCCTTTTTCGGAGCAGGTCGCATAAATCAGGGATGTTGGGTGGCAACTGACCAATCACAACAACAAAATAGATCCATTGCTCATAGGGTAATGAAGAAATCTGTAATTTTACCGATTCAAAAGGGCTGCTGTTGCCAGTTTTACAGGATTCTTTTTTTAGAATATTATTTTTATGATAAATAATAGAAATTGAGATTATATTGATAAACTACAAATAATAACATTTTAAACTTGTTGTGGGTTATTTCCGCAACATATTCCCCCCCTTGAAGTTTCCAAACTTCAATGAGAGACGAAACATTAACAAAAAAAATAAACAACATATTTACAATAGAGAAAGTAGCAGGTTTTAATCCTGAATTGGTAAAGGACATACCTTTGCTATTCCTCGAGTAAAAACACCACTTTGTGTTTTCAATTTTACCACTCTGGTTTTATTGTCTCGTCCAGGGAATACCTCTAAGACTCTGGCTAAAGGCCATCTTAGAGGTGGAGTGTCATCTTCCTTTAAAAGTACTAATGTATTGGGGGTTAGATCTAGAGAATTCCGGAACCATTTAGGTCGATTTTGGAGTCTGTTCAAATAGTCCACTGACCAACGCTTCCAAAACACTTGTTGGATGTGTGAAATTTTCTGCCACATAGAAAGGCGGTTCTCATTAAGATGACTTAAATCCTTATCTGGGTGAGCCGTAAGGCTTGAACCAATTAAGAAGTGACCAGGGGTTAGAGTTTGATAGTCGTTTGGGTCGTTTGAAAGAACGCATAGGGGACGTGAGTTCAATATGGCTTCAATTTGCACTAAAATTGTATAGAACTCTTCAAACGTGAAGCGGGTTTCCCCAACCAGCCTGACGATGTGGTATTTGGCGCTTTTAATTGCTGCCTCCCAAATGCCACCGAAATGAGGACTTCTTGGAGGGATGAACTTGAATTCAGTTTCATTTTGAGAGAGAAAGTCCCTGATTGAGTTCAAATGGGTTCTATTTCTAAAAAAGTTATGCAATTCCTTCAATTGATTTTGGGCGCCTTGGAAATTGGTGGCATTGTCACTATGTATCACGGTTGGGTTACCTCTCCGGGCAATAAATCTTTTCAATGTCATGATGAAGTGTTCGGTAGAGAGCCCTGTCACCAATTCAATATGAATTGCCTTGGTGGCCAAGCAGACAAAAATTGCAATATAGCATTTAATTAGGGGAGCTTTGCGTAGCTTGGACGATTTTATTAAGAAGGGTCCGCCATAGTCTATTCCAACTTGGCTGAAACAGCGGGAGACATTCACACGCTCCTTTGGCAGACTTGCCATAATTTGCTCTGCTGGTTGAGCTCTGAATCGGAAACAGGTAATACAATTGTTGATTATACGTTTTGTCTCCCTTAAACCATCGAGTGGCCAGAACCTTAGGCGAAAATTCGATAACACTGTTTGTGCGCCTGCATGACCTAAACGCTCATGTTCTTGGATTAACATTAATGAGACAATATGATTATGGGAAGGGAGCAAAATGGGGTGTTTTTGATCGAAGGAGACATTAGCGTTGTCTAATCTTCCACCCACTCTTAAAAAACCATCCTTATCTAAGAAGGGTTTGAGTTTAATCAGTGATTTGTTGCTCAAAAATATGTTTTGATTCAACTCTGAGATTTCCTTTGAGAAATGAATTGACTGGAGAATTTTTATGATCAAGTTCAAGGCTGCTTTCAGCTCTTGGACTTCGAGAGAATCTTTTGTTCTATTGAGATGTTTACATTTTGTATTGTGTGCAAATCTCAACATGTACCCTACTGTGCGTTGGAGCTTACGAAATTTAGAAGCTCGATTGAATATTCCGGGCCAAAACAGATCTTGATCTTTCTTATCAGTTCCTACTAGAGCTATTTTCTTTTCCTCAGGGACATCAGACAAACTGGGAGTGTTGCCAAATTGGGAGAGATTTAATTCAGGGTCATGAAGAAATTTAGGGCCTTGCCACCAAGTATGGCACTCCTGGACTTGGGGTATTGGCAAACCTCTAGATGGGTAATCAGCGGGGTTGTCTGAAGAATTTATATGACGCCATTTGTGATTTGAGGTGAGTTCTTGAATTTGTGCTACTCTGTTAGCCACAAAAACAGTCCAGCGCGACGCATGGGAATTTATCCAGCAGAGCGCAATTTGCGAATCTGTCCACAAATTTACAGAACTCAATGAGAATCGATCTTCGAAGATTGCGATTAACTTTGAAACCAACTTTGAGAGCAAAACCATGGCGCATAATTCTAGCCTAGGCAATGTAACTGTTTTCAGAGGAGATACTCTAGATTTAGAGGTAATCAAATGACAAGATACTGTTCCATCAGTATATAGGGCGCGAACGTAAACGCAAGCGGCGTATGCCTTGAGGCTGGCATCAGAGAATCCGTGGAATTCCATGGAACTTAATGTTTTGTCAGAAAAAAGGTATCTAGGGATCTTGAGCGTTTTGAGGAGAGGAAGGTCATGTATGAAACCATTCCATTCTTGCAAAAGTGAGTCATCAGTAATTGGGGTGTCCCAATCCAACTTCAGAGTCCAAAGTCTTTGTACAATTATTTTTCCTGTCACAATGACTACAGATAAAAAACCAAGGGGATCATAACATTGAGCTATTACAGAGACAATTTTTCTTTTCGTAATAGGGGTTGTTAATTTTACTTCAGGAATAGAGACGCAGAAGAAGTCGAGAATTGGGTTCCAAATAAGGCCAAGTACCTTATTCGGGTTTTCGTCAAAATTCATATCTACTTCGACTATTTTTTCTTTATGAGAGATTTTGTCTAGAAATTCCTTTGAATTTGAACACCATTTGTGTAATTCAAATCCAGAAGCCTTTAATAAAGAGATAAGTTCGCTATAGAGTATTTCTAAATCCTTAAGGTCATCACATCCACTTAGGATATCATCCATGTAACAT